GCCGGGAGAACAAAAGAGACGAAAAGATGAACAAAATTTCATCAAAATCAGCCATTTTCGAGTTTTAGAGAAACTAATGGAGTGAAGATTAACCTTGAGGAACTCAATTTAATCAATTGGGTACAGGAAGAGTATATTTTTTCGGAATTCCACTTCATAGACTATTCAGGTGATTTGTGTTGTATCCTGCTTTCTGGATAAAGTTTCGTTAGTTCAAGCACGTTTCCTCTGACTCCATATTAGTACGAGTATAATTTGTATAGTAATATATATATTATGATCTACTTCAGGGATTCCTCAAGTGTTCGATATCGGTTTTCCACGAGTTGAGTGATTTTAATAAAATTTTTTTTTTCAAAAAGTATTTACCTACTTAATTTTTTTTTCGTAATTTTTTATTAATATTTATTAGTAAAACTTGATAGTTATGAATTTTTATGTATATTTATTTTGTTAATTTTGATTAGGAAAATGATGTCAAGTTTATTCACTTAATCAAACGTAAAGTTTTTAAATTAGTCAGTACTTTGTATTAATAGGAAAAAACTAGAAATGGGATTTTAAACTAATTTGGCTATGGGGTCCGAAGTATCCGTTAATTTTGGAAAACCCCCTACTCTTTGGGCCCAAATTGTTTGGGGATCCCTGATCTACATAAACGAAGGCTGTAGTCATTTATTTTTGAGAAAATCAGTAATAACCCACTGGTCTAAATATAGATAGATAGATAACTCTTTATTGCATTTTAACACAGTTATTACAATAACGGTAAACTTATATCTGTAGGTGAAAGGTAAAAGACCTTAAGTCACAATGTATAAACTTTACAGTAGATCCTATTAATGACGACTAAAACCTCATGGAAATATTAAAGATAGCTTTTATAAAAAAGTAGATATCGGATCGATGTGAAATAAAAACCTACGAATAATTTATTTCTTTAACTATGACCTTTGATATATTTTTGACCCACTAAAGCCTCCTAAGTTTTTTATTTTGGACTTAATGTTCTTTAACTTGGTGAGTATTTCAATAACTAAGTATTGTTATGTTTGTTAAGTCCCTATATCATTGATAAAATTGATTACAAAAGGGTAAAATAGTAATATTGTAGTACCTAACCGCTAAAATTGAATATTTTGCTAAAATATTTAGCTATGTCAATAAAAAAACAGTATTTTAACAACTTTATTTGTATTATATTATAAATCAATCACAATCAAAATCAAAAAAAAATTATTCCGGTTCCGGTAGGTCACGCGCTGTACCATCATGAACCAGTTTTTTTATAAAAGTCGTGAAAAATGGGCGGAACCCATTGCAAAGCTTTTTGCAAGTCTAGATATTTGTTAGTCGTGATCGGCTTACAATCTTGTCTTATGGGCTGCAGTGCGGGTAGGGTAAAATCGCCCAAAGATCTTCTTCGATTTCTTATCAAAGACACCTTTTCAAATTCATTTTGTTTAAAAGAAGTTTTGTAATACATTGTGCCATAGTCTTCTTTCTTGAATTGCATTCATACTATATCAGAGTAAAGCACTGACTGACCAATATCTCTTTTTTTGCGATGAACAAAGGGAGATGAGGTACCTTCTTGGAAAATAAGTAAATTTTTAAATGCTTCCCTTGGCATATCAATAACTTCTATCGGTGCTTTATCTGAAGAACAAGACCTAATCAATTGTTGCCAATCCCATGGTGTCATAATAGAAAATTGCGGCTGTCTTTTTTTCCTTTCTATAATAGAATGTATACCGTCCACCTCAATATGGGTATGATTCTTCATTAAGTATTTGTCGTTAATAACTTGCAAATTTGGTATATATTTTAGTAGCCACAAATAGCACATTATGATATGAACACTTTTATTTTGTCCGGCACAATTATCGGACCAAATTGTAACCTCTTTGGTAGATGTGTTTGAAACATTTTTTTTAAAACCATTTGACTAAGCCCGATGATAATTCGTTCCCTCCACGGCCTGATACGGATTCGTCCCACATAATGTAGGTACTTTTGTTCGTGGAACTATCTAATATTGTGTAGTTAAAAGTCCACAATTTGCGAAGATAGAAACTAAGATTGTTCGTCAACAAAGGAGTTGGTAAACAGTTTTGTAAGTCTACAGTAATTACTTTCTTACCAGCGGTAGTATTTATACATTCCAATTTATCTAAAGCTTTTAAATCATATCTAGCCTTTGCCTCTTTCAAGTGATCATCATATATGCTTTTTAGTGCCTCTTTTTCGGATCCCTCAGACCCACGCATTTGAATTACAAAACGATCGCAATCGTCACATGTGTCAGTTTCCGGTGGTTTAAATCCTAAATTAAAATGAGTATCAAAAATATTTCTGTATGTCCAAATTTTTGCAATCATCTTTTTATCAACATTCTCTATTGTGCATTCCTCTTCATATAATTTATACATTAATTTTAAATTTAAATGTGCACCTAAATATTCACGCCTTGTTTTTTCTCTGATGTAGTGACTTTCATATTTAGGGAATGATTCTATGTGTTTTTTAATCATTTCTATTACTTCAGTCTTTGTTTTGTTTGGAGGCTCCTTTTTTCCTCTTTTGTCTTCTTCTATAATTCCATAGCTAGATTTTTTAATTGTATTTCGAACCACCGTTTCGGATATACCCAGAGTTCCTAAGAAAAATGTCTTACAAACGCCGATTTCGTTTTGATCAACCAGAAATCTATACTCTAAAGTATGATTTATTTGTTTTTTAGAGTCTTCTTTGCGTATTCTTCGTCTTTCTATAGCTCTTTTCCGAACACATGTCAAAATAAATTGTCGTTTCATGTCCCACGTCTTTCCTTCGTTCCAATATTTTTCAATTATATGTCTTCGTTGTTTATCGTTGATTTTGCTACTGCATCCTTTTCTGCAAGAACAAGAGGTCTTGATAGTCTTAGCAGAAACTATGTTTCCTTTTTGTGTTTCATGTAATTTACCCGATATTGCCTTTTTACGTCTTAGATTACACTTCCATGTTTCTGGTCTTTTTAACCGTTTTCTGGTTTTTATTTTTTCAACAAATACTTCAGAACCTATTTCTGTATCTATTTCTAAACTTTCGTTTATAGTAACAGGAGGTCTTGCATTATGTCTGTTTTTTTCAAAGGAATAGATTCGCTTGAGTCACTTGTGTTTGGAATATAATCATCATCATCTGTCGATAAAATCTCACTCAAAGTATCACTTTTTTCGCCTGTTCTATTGGTGTTATCATCAGATTGTGATGATTGTGTAGGAGGTAATACAGAGGGAGATAGTATCTCATTCATCGGTTCGAATATTCTGCTTTGCCCTTCAGCTACTGTTACATCAGGCCATTTGGAACATCCTGGTTGATTCTCTTTTATTATATTGTCACCATCTAAAAAAATTATGTCTAAATAATTTATTTAGATACAACGCCATTCATCATACTTATTACAAAATGATGATAAATTCTATAACTAGGGTATGTCGCAATATACGTAGAAAGCTGGCACCCGGGGCAGAACTGACAGATATAGTTTACTAGTTGCGCCCTGCGGTTTCTCCTGCGTATGTCCCGATTCTATGACAATATCACGATAAAAAGTAAACTATGCATTCATACAGGTCTCCATATGCATATCAAGTTTCATCTCAATCAGTTTATGACAAGATTTTGACATACATTTTTGTTTCATTAACTATCATTCAACTGACATTCGACGAGAATATAAGCACAAGAAACGGGAGTATAAATGTTGCCTTTACGTGTGCCATATATTAAATATATTTTTCAAATAAAATAAAATACAATTTATTTTTGCTGACAGTTTGGGTTATCGCAAGACAACAACAACAAAATTACAGTATTCATTAAAATTGCTTTGATAGTAGTTAGGCCTATTAACTTAAGTATGATATTATTATTAAAATAAGGTGTTTGCAAAATGTCGTTACGAGGTTGAAAAAGTAGCATATATTCGCAGAAAAACTCTTTAAATTACATACCTGATAATTTTATCATATTGACAAGTTTCCTTCCTAGTCCGGTAAACATTTTGTTTCATTTATATGAACGAAAACAACAAATTACACGTAGTTTAAAATCACACGCAAATCTTCTCTGCCTTTGACACGATTGCATTGCCCGTTGTGGCCAGTGGCAGCGCAAGAGTAGCGGGCGGGGGGGTAAACATAAATAAGACGTGCGCCAACGCGCTAGTTAGTGCAAAAGAATCGTAAGTCCCACATAATGTCATTTAACACTGAAATGTCGTCTATAAGTAATGAATGCTAAAAGATATTAAAGGACTTTACGACTGTTTACTTTTTATGTACTCAGGGACTTAATATCCAGTTACATTTGCTAATTTAAAATAATGCGGAGTTAGGACTTAATGTCTTTTACTATTGTATAAATTCGAGTTTTTCGAATCGGAATCTGTAAAAACATGAAAACGGCCAAAAATGGTCTTAAGGTTCTATAACTTTCACCTACAGATATGACTATAAACGGTGGTCATATCGCTTTAAGCGATTTCTGCCTGACAAACCGAACATAAGAGGATATTATAATTTTATATTTTGACGGATACGTGCAATGTGCAATATGAAATAAACAATTTTTTTTAATTAAAAATGATATTTATAAAAATATATTAATAATATATACACTATTTAATGATTATAAATATATATTTATATACACACTTATGATATATATATATATATAATTTTAATTTAATATATTCTAACATATACTGCAGAGAAAATTTAACAAAAAAAATCAAGTATATATGAAAAGAGAGAAGAGAGACATATAATTTATTATTATGACGGGAACTTCAAATAATACTCCTTAAGTAGTATTTTAAAAGACTGTAAAGTATATTTACTAACATTTTGATACAATAAGTGTTAAATAATTTTTACGTGGTATAGCTATTCTGTAGTGAGATTTCTATGACAAAAATCAAGACACACTAGATAAAGTAACAAACTCACCCAAAGTGCTGCCAAGGGAATGCCCGAGATAAACGAATTTCTTCCAACGGAAATGCCTGACCACTGCCACAATGGAATACAACATGTCGTATGAACAGATCACCATTCCCGGCGGGTAGGGGTCCGATTTGCCGTTACCTGGCAACTCCATGCCTATGGGGAAAACATAACAGCTCATATTAAAAAAAAGGAAAACTATATAGTAAACTAGTGACGCTATGTATATTAATAATACTTCCATTAACCAAGTTATTTTCATTTCTCTTCTCTTCTCGTTCTCTTCTCATTTCTGAAAGGCTTTTAAAGCAAGGAAATTTCCGCCGCGCTGCCCCAGTGCGTATTGGTGAAATTTGGTGAAATTCACATTTCTTCGAAATATTAGTATGTTTATCAGTTGTCTAGTACCCATAACACAAGCTCTGCTTAGCATGGGACTAGATGGCGTTGTGTGATAGTTGTGGAATATTATTATTATTATTATTATGTGGGGTATCTATATAGTTTTCTCATGTGGTTGGGATGTATAAATATATAATTATAAATGAAAATAAAAAGATAAATATACATAAATATCAATAAAATAAAATAAATACAAAAATACATAAATAAATAAAATCCCAACCAGATGGGAGCCCTCGGCAGGGGAGACCAAACGGCCAAGGGTTAGGGGGAAAGGGAAAGAAGCCGGCGGACGATGCGGGCGGTATCGAGGAGCACCGCCTTCTGCATTTGAGCCCGGAGCGGTCCGTCACGGAGTCCCAGTCGCCTCAGATGACCAGAAAGGCTAACTGGGGTTAGCCCATTCGCAGAGACGACTACAGGAATAATTTCGGTCGGCATACCACCCCACATGTCGGTCACCATGTCATGTTATTATTATTATTATTTTTTTCTTATTTACTAGACATGCAGGTTTCCTCACGATGTTTTCGTTCACCGCCCAGCACGTGGTAAATCGGTACCTACGTAAAAAATTGCAAATCGACCCGTGTTATGCCTATGCGGTTAATGTCGTTTGGTGGCGACCTTTTTCAAAGTCGTGGGACTTGTCCGAGTTTACAGTCTGAATCCTTGACCGTTAAGCAATTATCATTTAACACTGGAAGTTTCCTAGTGAACTGAAACATTTCAAAGTGCGTGCATGCGTGCGGTGTGCGTCTTTGCGTACGTACGTGCGTGCGCGCGCGTGCGAGTGCGTGTGTGTGTGTGTGTGAGTGAGTGTGTGTCACACACCTACATACAAATATTCCTTCTTTATCAGCCTAACCTCTGACTGATGATAACAGTAGATGTGTGGAACCATTAGCACTGGTCCCCGTTGCTGGTGTGGGTATTTTACAGCATAATTAGTAAACGACATAGCCTTATGGATGTGTTAGCTGAAGTGGCAATAGGCCGGCCATATAACTCGAAGAACCAAAACCTCATAGGGAGGAATGCTTCTCAAGTAGCAGCCTATCGGTAAGTGAAGTATGGGACGGAATTCCACTAGAAGGAGTCATAACCTGGTGAGAGATGTAGGTAGTTGATAGATGTAGATGGCTAAGACTGTGCTGCCACAAGCATACATTGGAGGAGACCTAACTTCAGCATTATACTTAAAGTAAAACTGTAATGATGATATTGATGATGGTGTGGTGATACAAATTCAAAAACAGGAAGTAATTGGTTGATAGATATCATGGTAAATCAGCACTTAAAATTGCAATTAACAATTTCATTGGTGCCGGCGGGGATCGAACCCGTTTTGCTCGCGTACTGTGAAATTTATAGCGAGTGCTAACCATCTGAGCTACCACGGCTCACTATTTTCTTATATTTACCACGTGCTCGGCGGTGAAGGAAAACATCGTGAGGAAACCCACATGTCAGAGAAATAAGAAAAAAAATATATATTTCGAAGACATGTGAAGTTCGCCAACACGCATTGGGGCAGCGCGGCGGACAATTCCTTGGCCTAAAACCCTCTCAGAAATGAGCGGAGGCCTGTGCCCAGCAGTGGGATGTATATAGGCTGTAACTTTACTTTACTTTTACTTTAGATTATCTTGGACTGCCACCACAAGGCAAGTGTTAAGTACCTTTATTACAATTATACTAACCAACATAGTAAAATTTCTTTGGCAACAACTTCATTAGGGGTCGAAAACTCGCAGCAGAGTCTATATTTCCATGGCAAACAAGAACAGGTGGGTCTCGACAGTCTCCCCACGCTACAACTGGAATAAACATATAAATTTTATATGTATTTTATATGTACTACAAGTTAAAGTTTTTAATAAATTATTATTATTATTATAAATTTCAATTAAAAATATGTAAACATTCATTTAAAACATGTATTATACATAATTAGCAGAATAGAATATTTTTGTTTAATATAGACTATAATATATGCACATAGTTTTGAAATTATATTATTAATTTTATTACATAATCACAAAATTTTATAAATATTTATCCCATCAAAAACATAAATGTGAAATGAGAGCCATGTTCAATATTTTGATATATGCCTTCGTTGTTGACTTTAACGACAAAAGAAGTGAGATCTAAATGGGTGCCAAGTTCAATGGTAAGTCCTGAAATTTATTTATAACAACATAAAATATCATTTTTTCTTATAACTTAGGATAATATATTGTAGCCTAAGGTCTGACTTGGCTAGTCCTCATATACGAATTATTATGTTCGATGGCTAGTTTCTACCAGCAAGCCAAATTTTCCGAATAATAAAATAAGAACCGAGAAGTAACTGGTTTAGAACTTGCGAAGACTATAATATAATTCGTATATGAGAACTAGCTAACTAGTTAGAAAAAAAGGATACAAAGCTTATTACATGAATAGAAGTAAACATAATGATGAAATAAAACATATTTTTATAAGTATTTTTATTGTACTAATAAATCAAACAATATAAAATAGGTAATAAAATATATTTAATAGATAATTCATGAATAAACTAAAATAATAATAATAAATTAATTTGTTATTAAAGTTAAAACGTAGTTTTTATTATAATTTCCAAAATATTTAAAACCAAAGGTAACTAGTTAACTTAGTCCATTAATTATATATAGTTTCCCATTAATGTAAGATAATCACAAATGCGGAAAAGTGGCAACATTGAACCTAAATGGCAATATTCGATAATTTTATTTAATTATTTGAGATTTTTTACGTTTATATGAAAACAAGAACTAATAATTACGTGTTGAAAGTGATTCCGCTTGATTTATTACGTTTTTGTGACCTTGAATAGCATTCTTTCACTACGCATTTACCTATTTTTTGTCGCGGATCAACTCTGTCGGCGTCACATTGAACACTGAACTGACGTTAGCTAGGTATGGCTGTGGCCATATGTGCAGTAGCAACGCTTTGGCGCAGTTATTACTGATCTAATGTCATATATAAGTCAAATGAGTATATCTCAATGCCTATTATTTAATTACTTATAAGTAACGATCTTACACTATTGGTATGCGCTAAATATTGAAACAATAATTAATACTAAATCCCAGTCAATAACGTAATAAATACGAAAATCGACTGTACTCTTAGTAGTTTAGTTATAAGTACTAAAACGGAAATATTTGGATTAAAAAAAATAAGGGTGGTATTCAACTCGTTATACATATATTTAAGACCGGCAGTCATAAGTTTTGATTGCTGATTCTTACAAACATACATTATTACAGTTACAAGTATAATATAATTGTTAATAAATTTTAGTGTTCCCAATAGAATCAAATAAGTGAAAAATTATAATAAAATGATAAAAATTTACCGGTTTCTGATTTATTCCTTTGTATTCACCTAATTGCATCTGGTAATAGGCATCTGCATGCCAAATTTGAACTTTCTAGGTCATCTGGAACTGGGTTAGAGTTTTGATCTATAGGTCAGTCAGTGATAAAAATGACTAAATAACCGTTTGAGATGCGTTTGAAGTGAGTCTCAATATTTGAGCCTAATTTGACATGTTTATGTGAAATAGTTTTTGAGTTATGAGGGGGTCAAAAGTGGCTCCAAATGGTTCATGTAATATTACACACGGTGCGGCTCGCCGTTCTGCTTGAACTTGGTTTGACACGCTGCCGCGTGTCTAGATATGAATTTTTACGACTCCGTGGCGCAGTGCCTTAGCAATGAGTGGCTGCGCCGGGGGTCGCGGGTTCGAATCCCGCACGGAACAAGTATTTGTATGGCCTACAAATGATTGTTCCGGGTCTGGATTTTTGTCCTTGTGCAATTTATGTTTGTAAACTGCCCCCACGATACAGGAGTAAATCCTAGTAAAAAAATAATAGAACAAACATGGAAGCAATCACCTCATTCATTAGGGTAATTCTACACTTACAGATCAAATCCCAGTCACCGCAGCCTATCTCGAGGGAGACTAGCCATCTGGGCAAGACACGATTATAATAAATGAGTGTGTACATCCAACACGACCGACGAGAGATCAGTTGCATGTCTTGCAGTTGATTCGATCAATTTCACTGGGGTCAATCACCCCCAACATACTGATTTCAGGCTGTTACTGAGAATTCCTTGACAGAAAATCTCAATTACTGACTTTTTGGTCTAAACCATTTATTACATGGTAGAGCCATGCTGCAGTTATATTAGTAGTATAGTTGTAGCATGAATGGGTCGGCTCGACTGGAGAAGGACCACGCTCTCACAGAATGCCAGCGTCAAATAGTAGCTTCATGCTGCTGTATTTCGTATGGTGAGTGTAGAGAACCGGAGACCCTTTTTACTGGAAATGAGGCATTCCACCAGAGTCCTCACGGATAACAATGCATCCGCATTTTGATTCGTAATCGAGGAGATGTAGATGTCTATGGGTCACAGCAACCACTTACCATCAGGTGGACTGTGTGCTCGTTTGTCATTCTATCACATAAAAAAAAACCAGAAGGGTTTGAACCTATGACCAAGTCATCAGCAGTCGCACTGACGATCACTAGACAATGTGGAAGTCATTGGATGGAATTACAACCTAATGAGTTAATGGATGCAGATGGATCCGGACTGTACTTTAAGATCATCAGTGCAGAAGGATTATATTTAACAGTGGATTACTGAGGTTCTGTTATGACAAAGATAAGGTTTAAGTACTTTTATAGTCTGTATATGTCCCAATCCATTGTCTCATTTCTGAGGCAGATTTTAGGACAAGAAAGTGCCTACCGTTCTACCCCAATGTATGTTAGTAACTTCACTTCCTTTCGAAATTTTTATTTCTTTATTTTTCTGAAATGCCAGTTTTCCTTCACATGGTCAATTACCACTTAAAACTGCTATTAATAATGTAATGGGTACCGCTTGGATTCAATCCGGATTACTCTCATATTATGAAATATAAAGTGGCAGACAGTAAGCCCCTGAGCTACTTGACTAATAATATTTAAGTAGCATAAAGTCAATCCTTATTTAAATTATAAGTTGGCTCTAATAAACCGGTTTGTCAGCACAGTTGACAACCCCAAATATTATTTGTACTAAACATGGCTTCTTTTTCACATTTAAGTTTTAAGTTTGATACATTAAAATTATAATTAAATTTAAATAATAAAAAAAATTGCAAAAGAAAATATAACTAAATATGTTCATACACAGGTATGAGTAGAGAAGTATACCAGTCTGATCATACCTGTATATGACAGGCTTAGGTATATTTTCTAATCTGATATCAAATCCAATATTAAGAATAACAGAACAGATAATTTTTTCTTCTCACTGACACTGGAATCTATGAAACATTAATAGTTTCTCCTTGAATTGGCAGGTAAATCCCGTGTTGGTTAACCCCTCTTAGTGGAGTTAACGGAGGAAACATGCAGGTTGTTGATGGATGCTGGCTTATGTACAGCAGTGGACATATGTGAGCTGTCGTGATAGTGATATTTATATAAAATGAAATGAAATTTATTTTAAACATTTTAGAACAATTTTTTACTCTGTTAGTAAGATTAATGATATATAAATGATGATTACTTTGACTTTTAAGCTAATTTACCATCTGTTAAAACCACTTTTATGGATTTTATAGTGTTTAATTTATTTTATTTTTAACACCCGACATGCTTTCCAGCACCCATGGTCACGAGGGACTGAGGTGAGTAACATCCTGATGTCAGTGTTAACCTGGAGTACCTTCAGCTTTTCAATTATTGTTTTCTTGTTTTTGGTCCGATCTATGCAACATCGGGTATAAAAATAAAATAAAATAAACATGATAAAATCTATAAAAGTAGTTTTAATCAATGTGTATTGTTTGCATAAAAGTAAGAAATCATTATAATTTAACACCTTTTTAATTAGCTTGACCATTATGCATATATGTATTTGCATGAATGTAATGAGATTTTTAATTCAGTCTTTGCTTACATTTAAACTCAGTGGTATAATATTAGCAAGAACAATAAATTACTTAAAACAAGGCAAGAGTTTCTTTTTTTTATAAGGGCGATAAATGAAATACTGGAATCGAGGCACTCCATCTTAGTACTCACGAATCACAATGCACCTGCATTATGATTTGTAATCGAGCATAGATGTAGATGTCTATGGGCCATAGCAAGACAATTACCAACAGGTGGACTGAGTGCTCGTTTGTCACCCTCATTCTATGAAAAAAAAAACAACAAAAAGTTGAGCATGGTTGTCATTTGGTCAAAGATGATGTTGTGGATTTTCCACAACATCATCTTCTAAAATAAGTGTTGTTTGTTTATAAGACAACCATCACTATGCAACACACAGCCGGCCGCAGTACACAGCAAACCGGTAAGCAGGCCACAGCTAACACTTACCATCGGGTGGGCTGTGTGTTTGTTTGTCATCATATCCTATTAAAAAAAATATGTATTTAAGAGGCCTACATCAAAACCCATTAATATATGCAACATGGATTTTGTGATACCTAACCTACTTGATACTTAATATTTCCTCTATAATGTTGACATTAGAAATTTACATGCATCATCTAGGTATATCCCCTCATCTGTCCAAACGCCATATTCTGGCATCTCAAATAATATGCGCATCTGTCAAACGCCATAATATGGCGTCGAGTGATAGCAAACTATTTTTAACATATATATAACATACATATATATCACATACATATATATCACATATATATATCTGCATGATTGATTTTGTCAAAATTTGATTTAATAAGGTGTTTTTTTGTGAACCTCCTTATTTTTTGCCTCGATGTCGAGTAGAGCTAAGTGAGGCCCTTCTCGACCTTGTAGTAAACAAAAAATTTATGAATATTTTTTTATAATTAAACATGCTTTGGACGTACAACTAAAACAAATAGTACTTGGAATAAAGCAGAAAATTGGGGAAAAACACTTTTCTTACTTTCATTTTCAATTTAGTATCACTTTCAAAGTAAACTTGTATTAGAAATAGAAATAGAAACTTTTTTATTCAACGTAGATTATAAAAATACTTATTGAAAGTCACTTTTTTAATTTACCACTGGTTCGCAAAAAAAACCTCTGTCCTGGGAAGAACCAGCTAGAAACCCAGCGGGACTATTTTTTTTTAATAATAGCTTACAATCATGTTTACAATCAACAACACAAGACAAATTAGAAATAGCTTGGTAGCGATCACCCTTCCCAGGGGTTATTATCATCTATAAATTCCTTAATATTATAATAACCCTTTTTATACAAACTTAGTTTAATAACATTTTTGAACTTTGTGTATGACAAATTTTGTATATGTTCTGGGATTTTGTTGTAAAAGCGTATACATCGCCCCAAGAATGAATTACTGACTCGGTGGAGTCGAGTAACTGGTACTACCAGCTTGTGTCTGTTCCTAGTATTTACAGAATGAATATCACTTATTTTCGCAAAACTACTTTTATTTTTGTGTACGTACATTACATTTTCATAAATGTATTGAGAGGCCAGAGTTAATATATTAATTTCTTTAAATTTTTTCAAAATATTAAATATTAATTTAAATATTAATTTCTTTAAATATTCAAGTTATACCTAATCCAATAGCTTATTTAATAAAGTTTCCATTGATATATGATTTTAATATACCTTTTATACAAAATGTCTTGGAAATAGTCATTTTAATGAACAGCAGGAATTAGTCTGGAAGTACTTCGCGTAGTGCTAGACAGATGCGCCATATTGGCCAAAATGACCCCAACATACGAGGGGATATCCATAGTACTAACTAAAGAAATATTATACAATTGCACAATACTTTTTTATAATTATACAATGCATTAATGATTACCAATATTTTTTATTAACTGCAATTTTTCTTTATAAGATAAGGGTGACAAACAAGTACACAGTCCACATGATGTAGGTGTTTGCTGTGGTTCATAGACATCTACATTTATCTTCAATTAAGAATCAAAATGCAGATGCATAGTCAACCCTGAGGACTAAGAGTGTATGCCTAGTTTTCAGTAAAAAGGGCCTCAGGTTTTCTACATTTACAATAGTATGTACAGCAGCATTGAGCTGCTATTTTACGCCGGTATGCTGTGAAAGGTTGGCCTTTCCTCAGTCGAGCCGACCGATTTGTACTGTAAATATAATATCCTTTCAGCTGCGGAGACTCTAACCGTAATACTCCGTTGACTGCGGAGCTGTTTAATAAAATGGAAAGTTGATTGGGCCCAATCCGTTTAAACGCAAATATCTTGATTTTGGTATATCGAATACTACGATATGTATACATTTCTGAATTCTCTATGAAATTTCCTATAAACGAGTACATATATTTAATAAAGTTTTAAAGTAATTAGTATAACTAAATATAATATAACCAGCATGTTGGTTCTAAGATAGCAGTTTGCTTCATACATATTAAAAAACGATTTTACATGTACTTAACCCTTTCACTCGGCTACCAATCTAATCAGATCATACAATACCTACCTTACGCCCGCTCTAGTACGGGGCTAATTAGATCAGATAATATCAGAAGTACTGCCTAATGAAAACACTACTTTTTCCTTTAAAACAAAACCAAAAAAAATATGCAATAGATATTAGTATCAAAGACAAAGATATGCTCTTTTATTTTAAACCATAACCTGGCAATGTTTATTAGAAAAAAAAAAAAAAGAAATCACTGTGAACTTTCGGCGTTCCACGTGTCGTTTTGATAAATGTGCTCCGTCTTTTTTATAGAATTTTATAATTGTGTCTGGACTAAAAACGAAAGTATTATACTTTTTTATATTCCTTGTAATATAGTAAACACGTAGATATATAATTTGTGGTATAAAAAGTGAAAAGTAAATTGCCAAAAGTGATTCAAAATCTGGAAGGCCCATTATGGCGGCTGGGTCATAAATGCGTTATTTTTCATATTCTCATTTATTTTTAGTGTAAAATGTAAGTAAAAATAGTTTTCTTATATATTTCAAATAACTTGACGTTGTAATTATTTCAAATTCACACACAATTATTTTTGAAATATTGTTCTAAATGTCACACAGATAAAATATTATTATAGTTTTTTTTATATTTCAATATTTTGGTATGAGTAACGAATGGAAACATATAAAACATAAAAATATACATATTTCCAAACATTTTCATATAAATTTCTCCAAAAACAAAAGTGTAGAATTCAAATTAGTAGTAATTTTGTCACTAAAATTGAAGTATATGGTACTACTATGCTATACAGGGTAATTTATGTATTTTATTACAATTTCTAGCAACCAAAAATAATTTTATTCGATAGTTTATACATTCAACAAGAAATCCTGTAAGTTTTATCCATAAATATTGTCTCAAAGTGAAAATATAGCAAAATTTGCAATATAGCAAAAAATTTGCTAATTTGCAAATTTTCCCGCCATTACGGTCCCGAGCGAACGGGAGTATAACATGTCGCGCGCTGTCAGAGCGAAAGGGTTAATAAGATAAAACACAAAATGAGATTACAAATAAGAAGGTTACTTACCCAGCCACTGTTTTAACACAATTCACCACACAATAAATATAAATTAATACAAAATAATTACAAACAACTTCGTTGTTTGCGCGCGTCAATCATGGCTGACTCAAGGAACGGACAACATTTAAGAATGATTTAAATAAAATATACTACTAAAGTGTATAAAGCTGTGAGGTTTTTATGCTAGCCTTTTTTATCCTGTACACATTGACATATGGTAGAATGAGTTAGAAATAGCACATAATGCTTTGTTTCTTCATTAAAAGAGCGGGTAAAAAATGTCTAACACTTGGACGCCTGCAGTCAATGGAGATATTTTCGTGTCCAAGTCTTGGACATCCGCAGTTGAGAGGATATAGCTATCATGGTTCTACCACATAGTAACAAAGATATACATATATAAGTGATAATTACGTAATTATTTATTTTAAAAAAACTATTAACTTAACTTATACTACCATTAACCACTCCAAGTAACCATACTGTTATGTGTGGTTCACATTCATGACAGTAGTCAAATGGCGGATTCGAATCCACGACTATCCATTATCCGAATTTGAAGTGAGACCCTCAAAGAATAAGTAGCTTTAAATAAATTATTATCAATTAAATTATATACAATAATATAAAATTTTTGGACTATGACTTCAACTGTTTTTTTACCTTGGGTGCTAAAGCAGAAGAAATATCATATTCGTTTTTGGAAACATCACAAAATACTCACTGCAAATCCTGCCCCATGGAGCTTGTATATACCACTCCTTTTCCAATAGAGTCATTTTACATAATATCTTTAGAATTTAAGCTAATACATTTTAATTTTTTAAGTTTACACTAAGAAACTTTTAAAATTGTTTTATTGAATACATTCATAGAAATAGTTTAATTTCAATTTAAAACTGTGCCCTAGTGTCTATACAAATAAAATATATTACTTATGTATGTACAATATTTATTATTACTTTTCTATTTCCACTAGACCATAGATTCTTTCTACGGCCCTCAAGAATCGTTGTTGACATTGACTTGACAGCTATTGACTATTTAGAGTTGTCACCTCAAAAATTATCTTGTCACTGGATCAACGTTATAAATAACAGAATTTTTAACGTTATAATGGTAACAGAACGAAATTGTAACAGACAAGTTAACGTTATAATAACGATAAATACGCGACGTTAACAAACCTATTCATTTTCAAAAGCGCACGAATCTGCCGGAATTACGAGATGCGTTACGGAGTTAGTTACGGAGCCTGGGATCCAATTGGTATATTAGATAGCTCGGACGGACGGGGAATTTTCCGCACCGCACGCGCTCCAGAAGCGAACTGACAACGTTGTAAAGTGAATAAACATTTGCAAATAACAAATATCAACCGCTTGCAAGTTGCGATTTACGATGTGATGACCTAATAATTATACCTGCATAAATATCATATTACATATATTTCTTTATTTTTTAAAGTTGATTCCTACTACACTTAGTTACAAAAATTGGAAATGGGTCGTAAAAAATGTGAGGAATAGATTACAACACTAGAAAGTAATTTAGGCTCTACCAATGGTTCAGAAAAACCTCTGTCCCTAGAGGAATCTACAAGAAACCCCGCTTATAATAATAATAATGAATATTGAAATAATAACAGTAACAGTCAAAAGTGAAAAAAAAATAACTATACATTTTAATTGTAAAATTAAAAAAAAGTTAAAAAAAGTATACAGTGGCAGCCATAGCAAAATTTTTAGGTGATGCGAGATCTCATAGTGGCGGCCCTCTAAATACAACACCTTAGTGTTCCTATACTATGCAAATGCTTTTTTTGTTATTTTAAATAGTATTATACCTATCCAATATCTACAGGTTGTGTCTGTCGCTCTTGCCATAGCAGTTGTTCTGCTTATTTGCGTTAAAGAAATGTCCATTCCGCTCGCACTATTGTGTTGCGCTCGTCAACACCACTATGCTTGCCTTGCTACGGCGACTACTTGTACAGATTATTTCTCATAATAACATATAACATAACATAAACACTCACGCCTGTCACCCAGAGGGGTAGGCAGAGACTACGGACTTCCATTTGGCACGATCCTGACATACCTCTTTCGCCTCCTTTACATCCATATATCTACGCATACATGCTCGTCGGTTAAGGGTACTTCTAACGTGGCCCATTTTCAAAATATCGCCAATTTGGTCGATAAACTTTTCCTAGGGCGTCCCTTCCCGACTCGGCCATTCACATCTGCCATATAAATTTGCTTTGTCACTCTTTCCTCATTCATTCTTTCTACGTGACCAAACCACCGAAGCATTCCTTTCTTAATCCTGGTCACAACATCATCTTGCATACCACATTTATCTCTTATCACGCAATTTCTCACCCTGTCATTCAGATTACACCCTAGCATATTCCTTAAAGACCGCATTTCTACAGCATTTATTCTACTTTCGTGCTTCTTCTGCCACACCCAGCTTTCACTACCATACATTAAAGTAGGGACTAACACAGCATTATGAATTACCATACGTGCCTGTTTTGACAAATTCTGGTTCTTCATAATAGAGTGTAGTGCCCCATTCACTCTATTCCCTGCATTTACTCGTCGTTCTATATCCCTATCATATCTACCATCCCTGCTAAATACACATCCCAAATACACAAACTCATCCACTTGCTCAATCAACTCTCCTTCTATTCTTATTTCACATACCGTTTTGCTTTCTTCTCTTTCAAAAACCATCACTTTCGTCTTACTTGCGTTCACTTTCATTCCCCTTTCTTTTAATTCCCAGTTCATTAATGTAACCATCATTTGCAACTCTGCCGCCGATGACGCAAGTATGACTTGATCATCGGCATACAAAAGGCATTTGACGGTTAACTCGCCCATTCTTAACCCACATTCTTCATCTTTCAAAGTTTGCAAACACCGGTCCATAAATAGGTTGAACAGCCAAGGGGAAGCCACACAGCCCTGTCTGACACCTTTTTGGATGCGAAACCAGTCCGAGTAGACCCCATTGATCCTGACACAAGCACTAGAGTCCCTATAAAGAGACCTTAATGCCTGTATCAAACCAGCGCTCAACCCATATGAGTTCAGTGTTTGCCATAACACATTCCTGTCCACTCTGTCATAAGCCTTTTCCAAGTCCATGAACGCACAAAAAACTTTCTGGTTTTTGGCCAAAAACTTCTCCGCAATCATGCGCATGGAAAAGACTTGATCTGTACACCCCATTCCCTTTCTAAAACCCGCTTGCACATCCCAAATTTTTCCATCAGTTTCTTTCATAACTCTTTCAATTAACACCTTAGCATACAGTTTACCCACAATACTAAGCAAGCCGATATCGCGGTAGTTTTTGCAGTCCTGCTGTGACCCTTTTCCTTTATATATTGGTACTATAACTGCTTTACACCAGTCATCCGGTACCCGTTTTAATTCCCAACATAAATTAAAAAAGGTGTACAGCAGGCCTGCCACCACTCCCTCTCCAGCCCTTAGCATCTCGAGTGATACTCTATCATATCCAGCTGCCTTACCTGCTTTCATGCTTTTCATTGCTTTCATTATTTCATCTACACTTATCTCCATACCCCTTTCCACTTCTTTCGGAATTTCTAGTTCATTTAATTCATACGACTCTTCACTCATAAACACGCTTTCAAAGTATTCCTTCCATCTGTTTAAATTCGAAACTTCATCATTCAGAATACATCCATTCTCGTCTCTTATAGCATTTATTATAGGCTGTTTTGTATTTCCCCTGGCAGTTCTTACGAGTTTCCAGATCATTTTTATGTAAGCCTGGAAATTATCAGATATCCTTCTATCATTCTTATCCGTTCTTTCTTTCTTTTTCCTTTCAACAACTTCTTTTACTCTCTTATTTAGACGTCTAAATTCTGCCTTTTTTCTTTCAATCTCATCATTCATACCAGAAGAATTATCAGCTTTGGTTGCTAGTAAATCTAACCATGCTTTCTTCTTTGATTCAACTTCCACCCGTACCTCATCATCCCACCATAACGTATTACTTTTCCTTTCATTTGTTCTCTTACTTACACCGCATACTTCGGTGGCGGTATCCACCAAACCTTTCTTAATATTATCCCACACAGTATTCAAGTCTAAATCATTCATACACAACTCATTCAAACATCTAATATTTTCTCTCAGTCTACATTTATACTTCTCTATCACATCTTCATCTTGTAACTTCTCTATTCTTATACGCTGTAACGCAGTGGTAGATACAGATGTCCGATGCCGCCAACGCTTGAAAAGACCATTAATTCGACATAAGACCAAGTAATGATCCGTCCCTACGTTGGACCCCCGGTAAACCCTTGTATCTACGACTGCGCTCCTCATTCTTTCATCCACAATTACGAAATCTATCATGCTTCTATCATCACCTCTTTCCCATGTATACATGTGAATCTTCTTATGACGAAAAAAAGTATTCGTCACAAAAAGATTCTTTTCCGCACATACGGTGAGGAGGTCTTCACCATTCTCATTTATACTTTCATCACCAAACGTTCCCAATATCCTTTCATAACCAGACCTCTTCACCCCAACCCTTCCATTAAAGTCTCCTAACATAATAATATTTTCATTTTCCTTACATTTTGTCAACACCATCCTTACCATGTCCCAAAACTGCTCTCGGATGTAAGTGGGCTTAGACATGTCTGGGGCGTACACCCCTAGCAAGAACAGCTTCTTTAAGCCCACTTTCATTCGTATCCATAGCAGCCTCGGGCTTACACATTCATACTCTTTCACACATTGACCCATTCTTTCTGAAAGGATGAAACCGACTCCCTGGCATGCCCGTTCGGTCTCGTCTACACCACAGAGTGCAGTGGCATCCTTTCCCTTTCGTTTCGTCTCATTCACACATAACACATCTATTCCTCTGTCATTCATCATTTCGCATACTTCATCCATCTTATCATTCATTCCTCCACATACATTCAGCGTAGCCAGACGGGTTTCCGCAATCCACTTTTCGCCCCTCCGGGAGACAGAACGTGACGGGTGGCGAACCTCGTCGCCTCTCATAATAAGAGTTAGTAAAAAGTGTTCAAAAAGATAAAAGAACTACCAACAACAAACTTAATGAAAAACCTAGATGGCCAGCTTTCTGGCTTATGCGCTTGCAATTCTTTTATTAATTCGGGATAATTTAACTTCCAGAAAATAAACTTTGCAATGGAAAAGATTCCAATATATGACTTTTAAAACGCAGGTAAATTTTTAAATGTTTTAATGTACTAAAACTTCGTTTTATTTTTTGGCGACAGTTATAGAACAGCAAGATACAAAGTGCTGTCTACACATTTGTGAAAAATATCCTGCCAATAAATATTTTATTAAGTCTGAGAACTTTATGTGATTGTATAAAAATGAACACGTATCATAGAATTTTAACAGTTTAAGTCAAGTAACCAGTGTACTTTTAATTGTATCAATCACACGTTAAAAAATACCGTTAATTTTAAACAATTGTTTAGGATCAGTTGGTGTCTCACTTACGGCTTCATACATAAATATATTTTTTATTTCTTCGGGATCAGGCTGGCTTAATAATTGGTTTTATCGATAGATAAAAAAGATAGATATCTTTTTTTATCTATCGATATATTATATATCTGCTATTAGAGCGGATAAAAAGGTTCGGTAGAGTTTTAAAATTCTGACAAAGTTTTCAAACAATACGACACCTTTGGTAAATACATAGATTCAGACTGCATAGCTTCTTT